CATCATTTCTCCTTTAACTTTCAACCCTCCAAACTCTTCCATATACACCACCTTGTTCTTTTTCAAATTTATGGCCTCTTTTTTACATTAATTGTTGCATATATAGAATATTCCTAAATATAATCTGTTCAGGCTGTATAATGTTACTCATATGTATGTTTTTCAGGGTTGGCCATTTGGTATTCAATAACCAGTTGGAACATTCTTCACTAAAAAAAGATTATTTCTCCCATTCTCAGCATAGCTTACTTGGCTGCAGTTCTCTGTGTAGGGTTGAGGCCTGATAGAATTTTTTAGGTGAATAGTTCCTAGTACTATTCCTTATGACTTCTCAAGACATTGTTATTGTTATTTTACCCTCCTCCTTTCTGTATTTAACCTTCCCCCTCCCTGAGGGGGCCCTCACTTTTTCCTTCCCATGATCAGTTCACTCAGACTCTGCTACTCCCCTCTCTAATTGCTGCCCCTCCCACTCTGCCAGTGATCCATTTTTATTTTCTAGGTTTTTGCAGATACTATAGAATATGTACTCACATCTGAAAATTGGGAGCTAAGAGCCTCCAATAAGAGAAAACATGTGACATTTGTTTTTTTTTTTTTTTTTAGTCTGGGTTACCTCATTCCATATGATCTATTGTATTTCCATCTGTTTACCTGCAAAGTTCATGATTTCACCTTTTTTTTTTTTACAGCTGAATAGTATTCCATGGTGTATATGCACCATGTTTTTATTATCCACTCATCCATTGAAGTGTTTCTATTGTGAATAGAGCAGCAATGTACATAGCTGAAAAGTATCTATGGACTAGGATGCCCAGTCCTTTGGGCATAAGCCAAGGAATGGCTGAATCATTATTTTTAGCTTTTCGAGAATTTTCTACACTGATTTTCATGGTAGCTTTACCAGTTTTAGACTGCCTTCGTATAGCACTTAGAACCACTATCCTAGGAGAGTCTAGTACAGAGGACTATGCCTCATCACCAGTCATCAAGCAAGAAAATACATTGCAGTCTTGTCCATGGAACAATCAGGTAGAGGCATTTTCTCAGTTAAGGTTTCCTCTTCCCAAATGTCTCTATTTTGTGTCAAGCTGACATAAGCTAGCCAGCATACTCATTAAAGACAGAATCAATAGACTATTATAATTCTAAATATTATGTACCAAACATGGGAATGTCCAATTTCATAAAAGAAATACTAATAGATTTTAAACCACAGACTGACCTCAACACAGTTCTGGTAGGTGATTTAATTACCTCACTCTCACCTATAAGACAGGTTATCTGCGGGAAACTAAACAGAGAAATTCTGAAGTTAAATAACATCATAAACCAAATGGAGCTGACAGACTTCTAAAGAACATTTCATTGAAACACTAAAAAACACGCATTCTTCTTAGAAGCCCATGGAACTTTCTCCAAAAGATATCCCTTACTATGATAAAAGTAAAGTCTCATCAAATATAGGAAAATTGAAATCACATCCTGAATTCTATCTGGCTACAACAGAATTAAGTTGAATAGCAATAGATAATATACAGCCTTGTGAAAACCAAACAACACACTATTAAATGACTGTTGGTGAAAGAAGAAATGAAGAATGAAGTTTAAAAATTCTTTGAAATGAGCCGGCACAGTGGCACATGCCTGTAATCCCAGCACTCAAGGAGACAAAGGCAGGTGGATGACTGTGAGTTTGAGGCCAACCTAGTCTACAGAGTGAGTCCAGGACAGCCAGGGCTATACAGAGAAATCTTGTCTCAAAAAAAATTCTTTGAAATGAATGAAAATGAAAACATAACATATCAAAATGTATGATAACAATATAGAAAAAGTCTGCAGCAATGTGTACCTATATAAAAAGCTGAGAGCTTTTAAGTCACTAGATCAATAATGTATCTGAGGGCCTTGGAAAAACAAGAACACCAGAAAAGTGAACTGGAAGAAGTGATCAAAATCATGTCTGTAATCATGTAAAAGTGTATTAGTAAATAAAGTCTTTTTTAAAAAGTAAACCAAAGATCTGATCCTTTAAAATGCAAGGCTGATAAACTTTTAGTCAAATTACCCAACAGGGAAAAAAAGGGACCCAAATAAATAACAATGGAGATGTAGGGAAATACTACTAAACATAGTGGGAAATACAGAGAAGCATTTAAATATATTTTTAAAATCTATATTTCAGCAAACTGAAAACTATAAAAGAAATAGATGAATTTCTAGATGTATGGACCTACCAAAGTTAAATCATGATGAAGTAAATAATTTCAAGAGACTCAACATCCAGTGAGATGGAAACAGTAATTTAAATATCTCCATATTAAAAAAAAAAAAAAGCCCAGGCCCAGATGGATTTAGCACAGCATTGTGACAGACTTTCAAAGAACTCACACCAAAGTTCCTCAAAATAGCCCACAAATGTAAACAGAACATTTTACATTCTTTTTACAAAGCTAAGATCACCCTATACCAAAACCAGACAAAGACCCAACCAAAAAAGGAAAAATTTAGGTCAACATCCTTGATTAACACAGATGCAAAAACTCTTAATAAGATACTTGCAAAACAAGAAACTCATAAAATTTATTCACCAGGGCATCTCTGAGACAGGAGAAGCTCCCAGAAGGCTATGGGGGTGACCGTAGCTGCAGCTCCTTGTAGTAAAGGAAATGGAGCCTGAAGATGCCACTTCATGTAACCATGTGGGCCTTCCAGAGGAGGGAGGGAGACACCAACCCATCCATAAAACCTAAGGCCCCAAATTTCCTACAAGAAGCGTGTGTGTGTGTGTGTGTGTGTGTGTGTGTGTGTGTACATACATACATGATTTCAGGAAGAAAGACCAACAACTAATAGATGAGACTTCACGAAACTAAAAACCTTCCGGACAGAAAAGACAAAATCATTTGAATAAGGAGGCAACCTACAAAATGGAAACATCTTTATCTTTAAATATATCTCCTATGTGGTTAGTATCTAGAATATAGAAAAAAATGAAAAAAATAACCAAATAATCTAATTCAAAAATGGAGCAAAGAACTAAAGAGAGAGAGCATTCTCAAAAGATGAAATGCAAATAACTAAGAAACATTTTTAAAAATAGTCAACATCCTTAGCCATCAGAGAAACCCACTTTATTTCAATCAAAATAGTTAAGATCAAAGGGCAAGAAAAAAAAATGCTACCATAGATGGAATGAAAAGAAAATCTTATTCGCTGTTGGTAAGAGTGCAACTGGTATGTTCACTACAGAAATTATTTTGGAGGCTTTTCAAAAGGCTAGAAAGAGTTCTACCACATAAGCCAGAGCCAGGCTAACATTAAAAACCCGTGCCAGCAATGCGTTACCTCTGTTGGAGTTGTTAGCCGGTGAGGTCCCGGAGATGCCCAAGCTTTACAGGCTACTGATGACGCTATTTTATATTATAGAAGAAGAGGGTAAGACACTATCACTGAATATCAGATGCTTCAGGCATAGATCATGGAGAAACCAAGCTGGTACTGGTCTGGAAGCTTCACCTCCACTGGCTAGCTCTCATAGTTGTGGAAGGTTTTATGTATAGTACCAGGCATGAAAGGTAAACATCAGTCTCACCCAACTGAACCCTGTGAGCCAAAGTAACGACTCGATCAGCAAGACATACGCACTGGAGCAACAGCCACATAAAAATAATGCGGTGTCTTCGGACAGCTAAGGGCAATGCAATACCTGTGTTGTTTGGATGAGGTCTTTTGGATTCCTTGAACTAGTAACTCAGAAGAAGGTTTTCTGTATCTGGCATTGGTGTTTTATTATGTAGTCTATGAATTTGGGGAATAGTATTTTCACCCCAGGTGGCGTAGCTTTAATTAATATATATGTATATATGTGTGTGTCTATAATGTCTTTATAGAATAATTAAACTGTTAATTATATATTTGTCATATATAAATATATATACTATATACGTGTGTGTGTGTGTGTGTGTGTGTGTGTGTGTGTGTGTGTGTGTGTGTGTGTGTATTAAAGAATAACAGGCCATAAAGTTGAAAAGGAGTTGTGGGAGCATTGGAGGAGTTGGTGGGAGGAAAGATGACAAATGATGTTAATACAGAATTCATATATAAAGTTTGCAAAACATAAAAATTAAATACATGCACTTTTAAGTAAAATTAAAATAGGATTCTTGATGTCTTTTTCAAGCATCTTTGGTGTTAATTATCCCTCCTCTTCAATCTCCTTCTGTGTTGCACCCCCAAGACAAGTCTCTCTCACCTCTAATGATAATGTTAATCATACGTATGAGGCCTTGATAAGTGCCTTTTCTTTAATTTGGGCTGAATTTATCTGAGTCTCAATCTAATCAATGTCTGATCTTACCCGGTTCTACACATGTCCACTGTGCATACCGGCCTCTCTCAATCCCACTGTCTTTCATCTGCCCACCACCCGTCTCCAGCCCTTCTCCTCCTCACAAGTTTTTTCCACTTTCATGCCTATTGATTTTGTTTTGTTACCCACCAAGTTTAGCAAGGGCCATTGTTGTGACCATAGGAACTGTTTGTTCGAGCCTGGTGTGATCAGCAGGGGGATGAACAGCAGAAGACAATGACCCTTTCTTTCTCAGAATCCACCAATAGCCAAAGTTCAGTAGCAAAGGGCATAGTCCCACAGGCTCCTCCCACTTCCAGGACTGATTGTTGATATAGCCAGTTGTGTGTTGGCCTGTTGAAGGTAACCACTGTTGTTGTGAGGTAATGCTTTTCATGGTTATATCAGGTCTAGAGGATAGTATTTCACAGCCTTTTATTCTACCTTACATGCTTCCGACTTCCTTTTCTGCAATGTTCTGAGCCTTAGAGCAGTGACATTTGTAATTTCTAAGGGAGTATGTAATTGTCATCCTTCATTTATCATTAAGCAGGTCCCACAGCACTACTAAGGCCAAGGCACAGGGACTAGGAACTGTCAAGCCCTGCAGCCTCTCAGGCAGTTAATATAATATGGTTTCTCATTGCAGCATTTCAGTTTCGTGTCTTTGCCAACTGATGTGCTGGAAATTGAAGTGAAGGACAAGTTTGCCAAGAGCCGTCCCATCATCAAGCGTTTCTTGGGAAAGCTGTCAATGCCCGTTCAGAGGCTGCTGGAGAGACACGCCATAGGGTAAACTGTGGCTGGGATGGCTGTGCTTCCGCTTATAGGCCACGCCCAGGAAGGCTTGTAAGCTGCCATTATAAAGTCTTATAGAAAGACAAACAAATGGTTATGAGTTCCTGGGCTTCTCCCATCAATATCATTCCCTGAGCCATGGTATTCAGTTAAATCCTTCCCCTTCTTATTCATGTGTAGTTTATATAATATGTATTGAAGAGTATAGAAAATCATAGGCAATATTGAAAAAAGCAATCCACATTTTCCTGTATAAACAGAAATTTAAAGCTTGCTGTGGAAAGTATTTCATTCTTTCACCTGTCTTGTGTGTAGGATTTAACCACATACTGAATTTCCATACCAAGATGAAATGCTACGTTTCTTGGGCAGAATTTCTTAAAATATGCTATTTACAGAAAATTCTAGGTGAAAATTTTGAAAGCATGCATTCTCATGGAATGACAACAATCATGTTGACAAAAGTCAATTGTATATGAGAGAATGCTTTTGTGTTTTAAATATTTTGCGTTCATATTCACTCATGGTTTTTATTAAAATGAATTATGATCAGATCATCTCTTTGTATAATGTGTATTTACTTAGCTAACAACACTGATTGAAAATATTAGTGTAGGTCTTTGGCTATAACCATATCATTAATATGCTTATGACTCATAGAGTGGTATCAAAGGTGTGACAAATATTAAGCAGAGTTTTTTGGGTATTTTAACTTGAAGTTCTCAGGTGATTTGCTTAGTATCAGACAGCATACGTGTAATTGTGTACACGTTAAGATTCCGTTAATTCTCAAACCAAAGGAAGTTGACATATGTGGAACTACTACGTTTCAGTGTTTCCACTTCCCACTCATGTTTGTGAAAACTGAACAAACAACACCTTGCCCTAAACTGCCGCACATTATCCCTGGCACACAGTAGGAACTTAAGATGGAATGGTGTTTCCTGTGACCTTCATTTTTCAGTTTGGTTTTCATAACACTTGGATAACTTAAACATCATCGCTTCTCCTTATAAGAAAGTGAGGCCTGTGAGGGATAAGTCAAGGTCGTACTCACACTTGCCTCTCCCCGAAGGCCAAGTTACAACCTCCTTCCCAAGAGAGGCTTCCTGAAACTGCTTGTCTACTATTGCTGTGCTTTCCATTCCTCTCCTACTCTCACACTGCTAACACTCTGACAGGTATAGTGCAAGAGGACAAAAAGAGGGGTTTGTGAGATGTCCAATACTCCAGCCGCTCACACACATCTGCCTAGTGGATGCTCAGTTACTCCCTGCTGGGCTGGCTCACTAGAGCCACAGAGAGGACTCATTCACCTTCCTATATCCAGTACCTTTCTTAAACTATTGTCCTGTAACCCCTGCCTTTTACTGTGGAAAAATGTATACCCAGCTAGAAAAATAAAGTAAAATAAAATAATAAAATAAAATAAAATAAAATAAAATAAAATAAAATAAAATAAAATAAAATAAAATAAAATAAAATAAAATAAAATAAAAGCAGTTGAGGTAGAACAGAGTCTCCCCTAGCTGAGTAAGGGTAGTTTGATTTTCCTAGTGGTCCTTCAACTTGGAGGAAAGGGCAGCAAGAAGACTTGGGGGGACTCCTCCCCACCACCTCTGATGGAATGACACACTTACCCTATTGGATGCTGAAGTTCTCCGACTCTTACTCTTCCACTTCCTCCTGCTGCTGTGCCTCCTCTTTCAAGGGCTGCAGCACCCGTCACCTGCAGAGGCCACTTCTGTAGTGCTGCCCATTACGGACATGTCTGATACAAGCAGGAACAAATGACTGGGCTATGACCACGAAGCAGCAGTCATTTGTTTTGAAGGATGGTACAACCCAGGGCACACACATACACACACACACACACACACACACACACACACACACACACACACACAATTTCCGGTCCTTTTTCTATTCCTTAGACTATAGCAGTCTATATTTCAATTGCCTTTGGCCTCTATAAAACTCTAATCTTCACTTTGGAAGTGTCACTGATCACCTAAATCATTATTTGCTCATCCTTCTTGATTCTTCAGCTAGTTGTAAACTGTTAAAAGAAGGTCCTGTGGGGTGCATATAGACTTCAACATATAAGACACACCTCAGCATTTTTACACGGTAGGAACTCAGAAACTAGGAGTTTATTGAGTGGCTGAAAAAAGAAAGGAAATCTTAGAAAGTGGGTGCAAAACATAGTGAACTTAATTTCCATATCACCATGTGCTCATCTTAAGCTCTTCTTACAATTACGTTTTAGATTCAGAAAGTATTTTCTATGATCATAGTGGGCATACTTCAAAACATTGGCCAATATCTCCCCTTTATAAATTAATAGAACTTTGTGGTTCATCTCATTACATCTCCATATAATGTTTTAATTAATGAACTCTGACAATAAACATTATGCCATGTTTTATCAAGGAAAAATATTACATTAATGGATCATTAGAACATATTATTTTGTTTCATAATGTCAGTTTTTTCTAAGAAATTTCTTAATGTTAACAGCCAATGATTTATGTTTTCAGTTGAATATCACAAATGAATTAATGGAGGGACTACAGAGTAAATAATTGGCTTTGGAATATGCTTTTGTTTGTGCCTGGATAGCCAAAGGAAGTACTTTCCCTAATTGCCAAGATAGCAGGCAATTACTTTGTAAAACCTGCATTGCCAGTGAAAATATATCATTACAACTCCAGAGTTATTCTTCCCTGGATAGATTATTTTCAGTAATTTAAAAATTACTTTGAATGGTTTTGGCACCAGGATCCAGAATAGTGAAAAAGTGTCTCTATACTTGGTAAAACTGGGAGTTAACAGTCAGTGAATACAGATCACAGGTTTTGTTTTTGCTCCATCCTGTAGCAGGTGGCTTTCCATAGCTCAGCACAGGCTCTCCAGTAACTATTATGGCATTTATTCTTACACATTACATATATCTTAACCACCCCCAACATATCCTGGCACACCTATTTTCAGGGATTTATTTGGAAATGACGATGCCCACAGAAAGATCAAGCAAAGACATTTAAATTTTTGCTCCCTCACCTTCTGTAGAGCACAGATTATCAAACTTAGTCTGTAAGTGGAGTAATATTTTATGATTTACTGGTCACATTTAGTCTCTGTTCAACTCTTCCACTGTGGCAGAAGATAGCCATAAGCTGTGCGCAAGCTAATGAGCACGGCTGTGTTCCAATAAAACAGTGTTGATGGACACTTAAATTTGAATTTCACATAACTTACTCTTCTTCGAGTGTTTTCTCCCAAATGTGTGAAAATAAAGCTCAGGGCCATACCAGATTCTAAAAGGGATGGCTAAACATGAGCTGCATGTCCCCAGAGAGACTGTCACGCCCTGTTATAATGGTTACTCTGAGCTTTTCTGTCCCGGCTGGTATAGAAAGCACATTGTGTGATCATAAGCAAGAGAGGTGATTACAAAATCTGTGATGGTGCTTATTTCCTTCTAGGGATAGGGTGGTCAGCTACACACTCGGCCGCAGGCTTCCAACTGACCATGTGAGTGGACAGCTGCAGTTCCGATTTGAGATCACATCCTCCATCCATGCAGGTACTTTCAGCACGATCTGCATGTCTTGTTCGAGGCTAGCATCCTAGCGTGGTTCTTTTCTCTGAAACACAAATAACCATAGTTCTCTCCAAGCCTGTCCTGGTCTTTGTAGTTCTCTGTCATCTCCATCTGAGTCCCAGAGACCAGTGATCTATTTTAGAAGGCAGGTTCGCCAACTCCTTGATTAAGAGATTTCCTCTTCACCCCAGCCACCCAAATATAGATGGTTATACAGTAGAACAGAGGTCAACAAGGTCAGACAAAACTGTGCCTTATTATTTTATTCATATAGGAAGTACTCAAAAGCATTAAATCATTCTATACATGAGCAACTGAATGAATTAAAGAGAGCATAAATATGAAACATCTCTTTATAGCTAGTAACTAGTTATAGATTGGCTATGAGCTAAAGAATGGCATACTGTTGAAGAACCACAGTTACACAATGCCTTTATGTGACATTACAGGGAAAATGAAGATTATGAACAGGAATTTTACAGAACCATCCTGAATTCAGTTTTCCACACCAAAACACATTTCCAAATAACAACGATGAGTTGACCCCTGAAAATCCTACTTTTTCTCTTCTTCCACAGCACCCATACTAAATGTAAATTATGCTGAGAAATGTTAAGTCCTCTTGAACCAAATATGTGAGTTACTGTTAAAGCTAAGGAAGCCGTTGAGAACTTAGAGCCTGAAGTTTATCTCCACCCAGTTACTAAGCTCCAACATGCAACTAGGTTGTAAGAAAGTACTTTTTCCTGCCAAATTCAGCCTTTTGCTACATTCTAAGACTGACTCTTGTATGTATGAACAAAGACAGCTTTATGTTATAACAGAGAGACAGTTTTCTTCAAAGGGAATTACATTGGTGCATTTGAAGTGGAATGCCAATCTGGTATATTTCCAGCCAAGTAAGGTAGAGTTAAACTGTATTTGCTTCTCCTTAAAAGGTGGTATGGGTGGCAACCTTAATTTCTGACTGTCAATTACTGCCAGCGACTATCAGTGCAGCCCATAACCTTTTGCTTCTCTATTGCAACTTAAGAGCCTGGCTCAGCCAGTTCATCACCTTGCAGGATGACCCATGGGGAATGTTTTAGGCAAGGACAATTAACTTGCCTAGGGTTGCTAAGGAATCATAAACGCTACTGCCATCCTCAGCTCTGAAAGTCACTGTATATAACAAACACTATTGATCTCTGAGGCAGGATAAAGCTAGGTTTGGGACATTAATTGTCTTTCTTAGCAGTCCCTTGAAAGCCCTGACTGAAAGTGTCATTATTGTTACGATCACTCATCACAGAATTTTTCAGTAGTGATCTAGAAAGTGAGAAGCCCTCATCTACTCATAACCGATATCCTATACTAGAGATCCTTTCGCTGTGTTTTTCATACGCCAACACAGAGCACTAGCTCCCATTGCTCTCCCGGAAAGAATGACATGGTTTTCTTCTTGCCTACAGACGACGAGGAGATCTCGCTGAGTGCCGAGCCTGAGTCAGCAGAAATGCAGGCCAGTGTCATGAATAGGGCGGTGGAAAGCAGCAACGGGGAACCTCCCCGAGATGCTCCAGAATACTGCAAGAACGTAAGGCCAGAGTCACCAAATGAAGGGAATGTAGTGAACAGCTCAGGAAACCAAAATCAGGAGCGTGCCGGCCCGATTGAAGAAGCTGCCGGTACTATGGAGGCCGGAGAGGGTGGCAAGTTCTCCGAAGGACCGGAAGAGCCTGGAGAGCTTCAGGACCCAGAGCAACATGACACCCAACCCACTCTGAGTGCAGAGGAAGTGGCAGAGGGACTTCACCTGGATGAGGATTTGCCACCATCGCTGTTGCCAGAAGATAGTGCGGCTCTAGGCAGCAAGGTAGAAGAGGAAATAGTGGCCGAAAATGGAACCAGAGACGAGGAGATGCAGGAGAAGAGGCAAGAGGAGGAGGAGGAGGAGGAGGGTGTTTCTACCCTGGAGCAGGGATCGCCTGGACTGCAGCTGAGGGCCTCAGTGAAAAAAAAAAGCAGACCATGTTCCCTACCTGTGTCCGAGCTGGAGACGGTGATTGCATCTGCCTGCGGAGAGCCTGAGACCCCCAGGACGCACTACCTCCGCATCCACACCCTGCTGCACAGCATGCCCTCGGCCCAGAGGGGGAGCACCACAGAGGAGGAGGACGCCATGGAGGAGGAACCCACCCTCAAGGAGTCCTCCGAGAAAGATGGGCTCAGCGAGGTGGACACACTAGCCGCTGACCCCCAGTCCATGGAAGACGCCACTCTGTGCGCGGCACCCTCTGACGACCCTGGAGGCCATTTCTCCAGTTTGCCCAAAGGCGTCGTCGGCTCTGGCCAGGATGGAGATGCGCACCCTAGCACCGGGAGTGAGAGTGACTCCAGCCCCCAGCAGGGAGCCGACCACAGTTGCGAGGGCTGTGATGCCTCCTGCTGCAGCCCGTCCTGCTACAGTACATCCTGCTACAGCAGCTCCTGTTACAGCAGCTCCTGCTACAGCAGCTCCTGCTACAACGGCAACAATCGGTTTGCCAGCCACACGCGCTTCTCCTCTGTGGACAGCGCCAAGATCTCCGAGAGCACAGTCTTTTCTTCACAAGAGGATGAGGAGGAGGAAAACAGCGCGTTCGAGTCGGTGCCTGACTCAGTGCAAAGCCCAGAGCTAGATCCCGAGTCCACAAATGGGGCCGGGCCTTGGCAGGATGAACTGGCTACCCCCGGTGGGAATACAGCAAGAACTACTGAAGGTCTGGAGTCCCCCATGGCAGGTCCCAGCAATAGGAGAGAAGGTTAGACTGCAAACCAGATCAATGAGAATAGAACCACATGACAATAGGACACAAGTCTCCTCATACAGTGGAGGGACCCGTCCCAAAAGGGGTGGCCTGGGCACTATATGTATGCACTCAAGCGGTTGTCTAGGTGTGTGAATTTGGGGGACAACATGTCTCAGATTCACACCGAGAAATACAGCCAGTAGGATGTGAGCAGCCAGCCTACCTGTATGTGTGTTTCTGTTTGTTTTGACTCATGACCTGAACTGGTCGATGGAAGTTAGCTCTCTGGTCTTAACAGCAACTTGTAGCAGCAAATGCTATAAAGATCAGATGATGGCAGAAACACTTTATTATCAGCATTAGGTGGCAAATATGTTGACTTCCTAAAACACGCTGAAGATCATTGAGAGATACCGATAGCAGTTGAAGAACACAGATTCCCACCCACACCCCAGCACATCTGATAGCCCTGGAGGCCACTCCTCCAGTTCGGACAGAAGCCCTGGCATTGGTCAGCATGGCAATGCATCTGTGCATGGGCATACTACATATCTTTTTTTTCCCCACATGCCCATTTTTGGTTATACTAATTGATTCTGCTTTCTTGATTTGGGCTACTGTAGCTAATGGGAAGGAAGAAGAGCGTTATTAACCAGAGTCCCCCAGTTTGAGCCTGGGCCCTGGCATCACTAACAAGCTATGCTCCATTAACTAAAGACTCCATAATCAGAGAAAAGCAGGGAAAAAAGGAAGTCACATTGGAAAAGAAAACTGAAAGTTTCAGTGGCCCACGTCAGGTCCACGTTTAAGGTCCTGATGTGAGGTCTGGGTTTAAATGAAGTTGTGTACAACTGAGTTTAGACAAAGGGTTAGTCCTGCCCATCATCATTGCCTGGGTTTCCCTCTCATCATCATCCCGCCTACCATCACTGCCCCCTATAATGCCTCCTGGTTTTCCCTGAAGGATGGACAGTCTGACTAGTTTTGAAAACTATCTGAAGTCTCCCAGAAACAAAGAAGCTTTCTCTCTCTCTCTCTCTCTCTCTCTCTCTCTCTCTCTCTCTCTCTCTGGCTGGCACCAGGCCTCAGCCTTTTCCTTCTCTTGACATGATATTTTTAGGGAAATTCCAAATTCTTGAGCCTGTTGGTTCGATAGTCTGTTAGTCAGATAGACTGAGAGACACAGCATCTCTCTGGAGTACCTCCATTTCTGCCAGTCCAGTTATAATATAGATGCATAAATTATTGTGTTTTGAATAAGATTCTAATCCAAAGGCTGCCATCTCTAGTTTTAAAATGAATCACTTGTTCCACATAAATCCAAGCTGATACCTGTTAAACCAGTATGACTTATTTACGTTTTATTTCTTTTCCTTGTGTAAAACTTTTACTTAAAGCTCAATCTAAAACAGTTATCAAAAGACAAACATGCCGTCAAATGAAAGGGTCAGAGGAATGTAGCCATGTCTTCAGGCCCTGGAGGCAAATCCATCATGCCACTTCCTCACAAAATTCCTACCATGCTGTAGATTCACTTCCTTAAGTGCCAAGCAATATAACTGTAGCACTGACCTTAAGGAATAATTGGAAGAGTTAAATGAGATGAAAGAGGGAAGCACTCTGCCTCTCTCCTGATAAGACTTCTCTCAGGCAGATGAGCAAGAAAGCTAATTCTTTAGGCTACTAGAGAGAAAGCACTCTTTGAATCTAGCCTCCCCATTTTCACCAAGGAAAATTTCATACAATTAAATGCTAATCACTTTGCTTTAAATAGCATTCTCATAGGTTATGTTGACACCAATGCATAGCTTTTAATTAAAACGGAATAAGAATTAGTTTGCTCTGGAGCAAAATGTGACTGGCCATCAATTCTAGGTTCCAAACCAGTTTCATGAAGTTTCTGTGGAAACAGAATCAAGATATCCATAAATTTGGCACTTTAGAAATGCATCAGTGGGAACAGTGAGTAGGTTAACTGTGCTTGGAGCATGGTGGAGAAACCTGGGCTACCGGCCTTAGATGCTGTGTGATGGCACTCTTAGCCCTTTGATTAGTTGAAAGCTAGAATGTTGTCAAGTTCATTCATTCTAGAAATGTTTTGATGGTTTTCATCTGTCTAGATGTTAGGCCAGCTTTACCTACCAGTAACAGAATGTTGTATCTAACGCAGAAGGGAGCAGAGAATAGCTGTTCAGTAGGTGAACAATATCCCAAGATAAACTGTAATTTGGCTTTGGGTCTGCAGCATTCTGCCCTTTGCATGTCACTGAAATTCTGACTGGTCAACAGTCTCCAGACACAGATTCTTTCCAGGAAGCCTCTTTCACACCTGTCTCTTCTACAGTTTGACCATGTTGGTTATAATCAGAATAAATTTAAAGGCCCTCTCTTATTTTTAGTTGAGAAATATTATCCCTTATTGAAGATACTGAACACTTACTTTGAGGCGAAGGCGATCATGTGAAGTGGGGTCCTCGGACAGAACAACATTGCCTGCTTGTTTGCTTCCATCAGCTGCCACGCATCAGCCACGTCATTGCAGTTTTAGGGCTCACAAGTAGGTAGGCTGAGCTCCCACCAAGCAATAACATGTTTGCTTGAATTAATTACAATGAGGTAAGGTTTCTCTTAAGAACCAAAATTTAAAGAACAGCAGCTGATGGTGGAACGGCTGTGTCATTGTTTTTCTCTTCAAATTTCTAACCCTAATCACATGTGAAAATAAATGTGAGTACCACATCCACTTAAACACAGAACTGGGGTTTGAAGCAGCCACTTGCCCATAATGAATGGTATGCTGACATGAGGAGTGTCTTCCTCAATTTCTACTGGTTTTGTCCTCTGGTTAGTAGGGTGTGAGCCTGGTATGAGTTAGGAGGAAAGCCGAATAGAGTTGGATGGGGCCTGCCTGTGTTCTGAGCCCTTCAGGGTCTCCAGAGATGGAGAGAATACTTTAGTACTTTAGTTGACGTGATCAAGCTGTACGCCTCAGTAGATTGTGAAACAGAAATACTGTTCCAGAATTTTGTTTTGCTGATCATAAATCTGTACTGACAGTAGTTCAATGTACATAACAATGACTCATAAAATTCACAAACATTTATTTCTATCATTTCTCTGTATCTGCCTTTTTTCTTCTGTCTATTCCACTTCTGTGTTTCAAACTTTCTCATATCAGTCTTCCTTCTTTTTATCTAATGCCTTTGTCTGTTGTCTATTCCTCTTTCCAGAGCACTTTTTAGCTTTTTGGACTCCTCCTCCACGTAGTCTGGAATAATCATGACTTCCCATGTCATATTTGGCTCTACATCTTATCTTCTAATTTCCCTTTTTAGGAATTTTTATTCTTGAACCACCAGTCCCTTGATCCATCTAGGAAAAGCACTGTCTTAAAGTTCCAGTCTCCCTCTAAATCCAAAAGATAGTCTTTTGATAGTCTTCTGTTGTTTTAATTATGAAACCTTCATAGCCATATGATCAGGTGTGTTTTTTATAACCCAACAAAGCTTTTATGAGACCTTATAAACACTTTGTGCCTACAAACAAGTCCTCTACAGGACTAAGATAAGTTTTTCCTTGAGTTCCTTCCTGACATCACCTTCTAACCAAGACAATTCAAGTGGCTATAGAATCAGACTCCAATACCACATATCAGTTGGTCTGTGTGGCATAGATCAAGAATCAAAACATATTTGGTGTTTCCTTGTCTTCCTCTTTTTTCTTTTTCTCCATCTTCCTCTTTCTCCTCCTTCTCCTTCTTCCTCCTGCTCTTCTTCCTTCTCTTTCTTTCCCTTAATAATTTGTGTCATAAATGGCATGGTTATAGCGAACTGACACAAAAACTAGATTTTGCCATTTTATTTGGTGTTTCTTATGGTGATCTTCATTTTTACAGTCATGTTTATGCAACATTGCCATAGCAATGAATATGAATGTCTTGACTATCTTGTCCATAGGTGAATGTCCTATACTCCATAATTCCCAGCCAATAAGCCAGCTTCCTTCCTTGAGGCCTGAACATCATCACTACCCAACAATCGATGAGCCTCTTCCACCAAGTAAGCTTTAGTTTTCAAACCTATGACTTAACTCTCATCAAGTCTGAACAGGTCAGTGTGAATTCATACACAAACATCCAAAACTCTCTCAGTGTTACAAAATACCAGTACACACCTACTATAAAACAGCATTTTTTTTTAACAAGCTGTTCAATATATGGTATTGAAATGATAGCCTAATGTTGTTACTATTCCTAAGTTTCTGAGGGAGAGGCAAAAAATCGATAACATTTCTTTACAAGATCTGGCTAGTCTTTGTGACTTTTCAGTCTTACATTTACCATTTTTAAGTTTTCAGTTGGAAAATAGAAATCCATTTTTCTCCAGTGAATCCATCAGTCATGAGTGTTTCCATAGAGTAAGACTACTTTAACCCACAGTGCTTTTAAAGTAGACTTTCCCAACTATAACTTAAGTCAAAGGATTAAAAATTCCAAATGTCTGCTGTCGTTTTTGGCATTTCCAGGAAAACTATTATTTTTAGGATAGAATTCAATATCATTTTACCCTAGTAATCATCTTATATGATTAATAATTCCTAGCTAGTCATTTGAATTTAGGAGATTCATTTAATCTCTAAAGTATTATGTTTAATTATCTGTGGGAATAAATGCTTTAATCTCCTCATCTGCTAAATGCTGTTTGGACTAGGTAGTCTGTGTGTGCCGTTCAGGCTCGGCCTGTACCACTCCATTTAAAAGATTTAGGAAAAGGAAATGAAGCTATGCATGTAGTACACTCATTCAACACAAATGAGTGTTTGTGAATTCTGAAACTTCTCCGTTTAGCTTTAAGATTTTTCTATACAAAGATAATCATTAGTATTTGATATAGTGTTACATATAAAAATTTATTCTTAAAACTCACATTTTAGACAAGCTTGGATTAGGCAGTTGGAATTTTCAAAAGGAGAAATGCTTGTTTAGGAATTCATCTATTCTTAGTAACAAGTATTTTAGGTAAATACTCCTTTTCTCCTTATTCAGTCATACTTTAGCAGTGAGGAAATTATAAATGTCTTCTTTTTGTTACTTTCTTTCAATGGTTGGAAAACCTTGGTCACTGTATAAATGTCTTCAATATATACACTAGCTTAAAGCATCACCACCTTTGTTTCTCAGAGGCTAAGCTTCTTTAATTTTTGATGCTTAATTTCTTTCTTCATTTAAATACTGACTTAGGATACAACTTAAGAAAAGAGTAAAAAAAATCCATATTTCATAGTTTCTACTTAGCATGAATTTGAAAATTGTATATATAACATGTTATTGCCAAAAAAACAGCCTCTTTCTCACAAAAAAAAAATATATATATATATATATATATCATCTGCACACGTAAATATAGCCTGATCCCCAATCCATGCAGGAACAGAACTAGTTATAAATATATCAATTTTAATTAAAAAATAATAATATAAATTATGAATAATTTGACAGAAAACCACTTCAAAATAATTACTAGTATAAGCCACTTTCAGCAATTAAAATAGACTCCAAATAGGTTTTAATTTTCTATCCATATATCAATGAAAATATCAGAAAATTTGCTAATAAATTCTGACAACAGGATTTTTGTGAGGCAATCTTAAATAAAACATGAGTGACTGCATTACTGATAGTCATTCATTCATCAACTATTTGCTGATTAATCTATAATTGATGGTGTTTTAGGTAAACAAAATTGATAATGATCCCAGCCCTCCCGGAGCATCTATATGCTGATCTAGAAAGTGGATAATAAACAATAAAGTAATAAATAGGAGCCTAGTGTTAACTGGTGAGAAATGTGATGAAAAAAAAAAAAAAAAAAACAAAAGTAGATGAAGATAAGGAGTCTTTTCCTGTGTAGTAGACACTGGTTTGCAGTTTTAGATCCAGAAGTCTAAGCAAGCTTCCCTAAGAGGGCAATAATGGATGAGACAGAGGAGCTACACATATAAATGCTGAGGGAAAGCTTTACAGGCAAGGAGAGTAGCTGCTGAGCTTTAAATGGAGGCGTGATGATAGGCTTGACGAATAAAGCCAATTCATCGGAAGCCAGAAAGCCACCAATAATAAGGTCAAGCACAAACCAATCACCTGGGGCTTTGTAGACTGTTGGAGTAGTTCCCGACCCTCCTAATTCTGCAACGCTACCTCATATTGTGGTGACCCTCATCATAAAATTACTTTCGATGCTGCTTTATAGCTGCAACTTTGCTCCTTTTATGAACCGTAATATAAATATTTTTCAAGATGGAGGACTGCCGAAGGGGTCGTGACCCACAGGTTGAGAACCGCTGGAAAGGTTTGCCTTTCACCCTGAACTAGGGGGACACACCACGGCGCTGTAGACAGGCGAGTGGTATTCCTGACCTGTATTTTGAAAGGTTTCCCCTGGCTGTTGTGCAGGAAACAACCTGAGGAGGAAAGATAGAAGTCTTGAGGTATAAGGTTATCACAGTGGCCTAAATGAAAAACACTGATGATTTGGATCAAAGCGGCAGCAGTGGAATTGTTAAGGAACAGTCATATCTGAACATACATTTTAAAGACAACTTTGATGATGTATTGAGTATGGGCATTAAAGGAAAATAAGAATTAATAATGACTCAGTTTCACCCTGGACTGATGGAAAAAGCTTTCGTGGAGCAGGTTTGGGTAGGAATGATCTTAAGTTTGCCTTGATCATATTATAGTTGAGCTATCATCAAGTAGTGAGGGCAAGAAGGCAATTAGATATATGTCTGTAAAGCTCAAGAAAAACAATCTATACGTGGGATATTGCATTTATTAAACTATTTAAATACATAATCCAATGATAAATGCATGTTTAAGTTCTTGTTAGCACATAACTTGGTATTCAATAACTCATTCTATTCTAAATGATTCAACCTGACCTACCCTACTGTAAGTTGCTCCAGTGCAGGGCAGATACTGTTTTCAGGGGTCTAAGTGAATTCATGACTTGCCAGTGCTTAATCCTTCTAATAATGCTGAGGCCTAAAGATCCATACATTTTTCTTTGTTTATAAGATATGTGAAAATAATTTCTTTACAAAGCAACCCAGAAAACATACTAAAATCCAGCTAATTATTTAATGAATATGTATAATACATTAAAATGAACACTCTGTGTTTGAGATACTTAATTTATTAATAAAAGAGTTTAGAGCCTAGATGAACATGCTTTCCAGGTGTGGTTTGGATTTGCAACTTGCTAAGAATGTGTTATCAGCATCCCGTTCTCCAGTTTTTTCCCCCTTGGAGAATTTTCAAGGCTAATGGAGAAGTCTTTGCTTTCCTTTAGAGTAAGGATCTGTTTATCTGTCTGTGTCCTTAGGATTTGACTTAGCTCCTAGTTTACAGCAATTATAAGTGGAGTTTTCTCACTTGAACTAAACAGCATTCTTGGTTGGATGACAGTTCAAGAAAAACAATTATTCAATGGCTTTTATATAAAGAACAAGGGAATTTTCAAACTTTTGGAATAAGATTAATGATGAAGTTATGAAATTACACATCATAATAATATCATCAATAGGATGCGTATTTTTCTAATAGTTGATATCTCAATTATCTAATAGCCTATTTTAGGAAACTCTGCCTAGAATGTATTTCTGTAATTCAACTACATTTTCTTTCCATTTGCCATATACGGTAAATTTAAGGTTATTTTGGTATTTGAGTTTTCATTGGGCACTGACAGTTAGGTTAGATATTTGAAGTTATGTTTTCAATTAGAAATGCCACATACTATAAAAACCATAAGTATGCCAAATTTATCTTTAAAACTTGAGAGTCACTATGTCTTACCTAAGTCAAAGTTTTCAAGATAACTATTAATATCTGACCGATTCCCAAAACTGTCCTTCCTCACTTGACAGACCAAATGGTTTTCCTCCTTTTGAAATTGTTTCCTGTTTGTCCGAGCATGTTTAGTACTTCTCTAGCATTTCCAACATGACACCATATTGGTGTTATTTCCACCACATTTTTATATGTGGGCTACAGAAGTTTTGCCCGTTACTGTCCGTCATTGCTCTTATAGGCCTAGTTCAGATACACAAAAATCACATTTAAGTCTAAGTTTCAAGGGGTTTATTCATGGATTTCAATTCACTTCAGCTTACATGTACATTACCCAATCATCTATGCTTCTGCCTTGGCTCCTACTGTATATATATATATGTATATATGTGTGTGTGTCTATATATACATATATATGTATTAACACGTACATACATATACATATATGTATGGAACGACAATTAATGATAAAATGGGCCATATATTTGAAAAAGAGAAAGAAGAGGTATAGGGGAGAGTTTGGAGGAGGAAAAGAATAAGGGAAATTATGTTGGTTTTAATCTCAACAAGAAAAAGATAATTTTAAAAGTTTTTACCTTTTACTTATTTTCAAATACATTTTAACTAAAATGTGATTGCATCATTTCCTCCTTCCCTTTCTTGCCTCCAGCCTGGTGTTTGTTGTATTGTTCTATTGACTTGCTTTGGTTTTGTTAGCCAGCCATTGGTAGGTTCAATATACACATTTGTTCCCATGGACATTTTGAAACTATAGCTATCAATTTTTTTTTTTTTTTCCATTAACTCCCTTAGAAGGAACTGCAATTGCTTGAGCCTGCTCAATTTAGAAAGAAGCTTCTGAAGTTGCAGGTACAGCATTTCCGAACTGAGTTAGACGGGGGTTAAATACATGACCCTCTGCAACTGCCGCCAGCCACGTTAGCATGAATGAAGAGCAGACTGAAGCGGCACATCAAGGCCTACCGCAGGGTTTGTCCAATCTCCTGCAACCGTTTCTTGAATAACTAGCAAGATTTTTAAAGCAGTAAGCAAATTTTCTTTAGACACTGTTAAATCTAAGCACATGCCCTAGCAAAGGAACCACAAGTATCATGGCAAAGCAGGAAGTCTGACCTCCTTTTTGGGCAGCTGATTCTCCTGTCCAGCAGTCATGGCAGGTGCTTGACGTCAGGGTGGGGGTGGGAGGGTGGGGAAGCCGCTGGTGAGTTCTGTCTTTAGAAGACCTGGAAGTGGAATGCGTCCACATGCGTCAGTAGTCTGTACCTGACTTTTTTTGTCCTTGTATTAAAACAACAGACTGGGAGGCTCGAATTGACAGCCATGGACGGGTCTTTTATGTGGACCACGTAAATCGCACAACCACCTGGCAGAGACCGACAGTGGCGCCGACCCCAGAGGGCATGATCAGATCCGGGTCTGTCCACCAGATGGAGCAGCTTAACAGAAGGTGGGTGATTGGTATGGACCTCTATAAGCCTCGGTTAGAGGATAGAGAGACACCCCTCTTCTGCCTTCCCGTGCATTATAAGGAAGCTGGGCAAAAGTAATTATGTTAAGAAACCTGTTCCCGGTAATTATTTGGAAGGCTGGGTTTGGAAGTTAGTTAAGCTTAATAGGAAACATGTTAAGCTTGAGTGACATTTAAAGACAGGGTTCCTCTGAATTTCTTAATGGTACAAACTGGAATTCAGAAATTCATTAATTAGGGCCCTTTCCCCCAGGACTCTCACTAAGAATGTGAGGATCCCCACAAACCCTCCAAAAATAATACGTAAAATTACACATGTGAACATATTTTGGAAAATTTCCCCAAAGATACAGAACTCAAAATAGTTAACATTCCAAGGAGAGTTTCTATAAAGATAACTACATCCCTACAGGAAAACTCCGTAAATCACGGTAGACCTTGCCCTCATCTTATCAACGCTGTATCCCCATCACTGTAGACTCTGCCATCATCCCTTAATCACCGTACACCTATCGCTGTAGTTTCCTCTCGCCTCACCATCTGTACATCCATTGGAGACTTTGCCCTCGTTTCGCATCACTGTAGAGTTTTTCTTCACCTCATTGTCATCGTACACCCATAAACAGTAATTCTTCATGAGCTCAGAAGTCATTATCCTAGAAAAGAATAAATGCTTTCTAAATGTTTCTGAAGTAGCTCGTGGTGGCTCGGTTGTGTAACTCCAGCTATTTGGGATGCTGGGTCAGGAGGACCTCAAGGACAAGGCCAGCTTGAAAAACATATCAAGATCCTGTCAGGAAGAGGCTTCCAGGATCATTTTGATCAGAAAGTATGTCATCACTCTTGAACTTGCACAGATACTATTTAGTTTGGGGTTGCAAACCAAACATAGTTACAGAAAATCATACTGAGTGTGATGATCAAAGTATTTACACTGAGAAATTCAGAGTCAAAAGCTGTAGCACCAAAAATTGCCTGGAACTCAATACAGGATTATTTCTCAGTTAATTCCTATAATTGGAGAGTATCTAGCATTAATTAACTCTATTTTCACACATACAGACAATGAGCACACATATATGATAAGCAAAAAATAGCAACATGTATTTTCACTTTAAATAACAAACTAAAACTTATTTTTAGTTAACTTTATTAAATTATAATGTTAAGGGAGATTTAAATTTAAATAGAAAAAAACTATATTTATATTATACCAAAGTATAAACTTTTAAAAAAATATGTTTAATTTAAATTTAAATATATATATGCCATGATTCTTACCTTGCTATGACATGACAATATAATTTTATGTTTATTGTTTCTTATTATATGTGCTTTATATTACCACCATACCTTCAGATTAACATTTAAATTCCTGTAAATATTCCACTGAGTAGCCATAATTTAGTGCACTTAACTTCTCATATAATAATATAAATATTTTATATATTAATATATTAATATTTTGTTTATTGTTTTATCATAAATTTTTATTTGAAGACCAAGGTCATTTTAAATATTAAGACTATCTAACATTAGAATATTCCTTTGTGGTTCTGTTCCCAAAACAGCAGCAGGGAGATATGCAGAATTTAGGTTTTTGCTTTCCATGCTTAATTTTTTTTAACAACGTGGCTTTATAGATTTTACTATGACAAAAATAGTTTTACTTCTGTTTCATCTTCTGGCCTGTTTTTGCTGATTTAGGAGATATTTCTGTATTTCTGGCATTTTGGAATTGGCTTATATCTTACTTCTTAGAGGATTAACATTTTTTTCATTAATTTATTTAATCACTTTACAGCCTGATCGCAGTCCCCCCTCCTGTCCTCCCAGTCTCACCTTCACTTTCTCCTCTCCCCCACCCTGCCCTTTCTCTGAGAAGGGGAGGCTCCCCCATGAGAACCCACCCACCCAGGCACATCCAGGTGCTACAGGACTAAGCACAGAGGATCAGCATTTTTGCCATAATTTTCTCTTTGAGAATTATAGTTAATTCCACATGAATTTTCTGTTCTACAGCTTTGATTATTTATTGGGTTGGATTGTCGTGGTTTGGTTTGGGAAGGATTTTTTTTTTTTCTGGTTTGTGTGATTATCTGCATGCATGGGCAATTAAAATTGTATTATTTCAACTGATTTTATTCCCAATTCCCATGAGCCTTTTATATATTTTTAGCTCAGAACAAAACAAGTACAGAAGGACATTAACAGATAATTCCTGATGAAATGGAAAAGGGAAGGCTTTTCTGTGACGTCTGTGATCTGGGTTCTGGGTTCTATCACAAAACTGTCACAAGTGTAATTCTCAGTTCTCTAAGGGAAGAGAACTTCATTTCTATATCATAAAAGAGAGCGGGAGAGCTCTAAAAAGAGTTTAGCCATTTGGAGAATTCACGATTTGTCATATTTATTAGGGAATTGTCCAACAGAGGCTTCTGCAGTTTTTGGCAACACTCTGACCCCAATTAAAGCCAGAGGTTCAGGCATCTTCTCATTGATGGTTCTAGTCTCCTGCCCTGGGCTGCATTCCTTGTGTTCCAGCAAGATCACAGTGGGCCATCTCTCACCTTCCCAGAACCTTCCTGCCTCCTCGGGGAGGTGAGACACAGGCATATAATGATCATTGCGTGAATTCCACACTTTGTTATAAAAGGCGCTGTCAAGAAATGTCTCGCAGTCGCTGCTGCCGGCAAAAGTGTCTTCTGATGCTCTATCAGAAGTGAATGACATGTGCTAAAATAAAAGTGAAAAGAGGTCCTTCCAGCCAGCGGATCTCAAACCTTGATATATCAAACAGTATCTAAACTGCTTCTTAGAAGCACGGGTTTCAGTTTTCTTTCGTTAATGTAATTAACAGGTCCTCTTGCAAGCAGTTTGGAGACCACAGTGCGGAAACTTTAATCCTTAAATTTCAGGAAAGCCTAAGGCCATTCTCGTTCAGAGGCCTGCTGTAGAAGAGTGAGCCTGAACAGGATTAGATACATTCCTCACTTGATTTTTTTTATTTATTTATTTATTACAATTTATTCACTTTGTATCCCAGCTGTAGCTCCCTCCCTCATCTCCTCCTAATCCTACCCTCCCTCCCTCTTTCCCCCCATGCCCTTTCCCTAGTTCTCTCATAGAGGAGATCCTCCTCCCCTTCTATCTGACCCTAGCCTATCAGGTCTCATCAGGGCTGGCTGCATCATCTTCATCTGTGGCCTGGGAAGGCTACTCCACCCCTGAGGGGAAGGGGATCAAAGAGCCAACCACTGAGTTCATGTCAGAGACAGCTCCTGTACTCCTTACTAGAGAAGCCACTTGGAAACTGAGCAGCCTATGGGCTTTCTCTGAGCAGGGGGTCTAGGTCCTCTCCATGCATGGTCCTTGGTTGGAGTATCAGTCTCTAAAGGCCTCCTGGGCCCAGGTTTTTAGCTCTGTTGTTCTCCTTGTGGAGTTCCTATCCCCTCTTTCTTTCTATCTCCCTCTTCTTCCATAAGGTTTCTTGCATTCTGCCCAAAGTTTGGCTATGAGTCTCAGTATCTCCTTCGATACCCTGGTGGGTAGAGTCTTTCAGAGGTCCCCTGTGGAAGGCTCCTGTCCTGTTCCTTTTTTTTTCTCCTACTTCTGATATCTATCTCGTTTGCCCTGAAGTCTTCCCTAGGGTCCTCTTCCCTAGGGTCCTCCTTGTTGTTTAGCTTCTTTAAGACTATAGATTGTATTATGTTTATCTTATGTTATATGGCTAATATCTACTTATAAGTGAGTATATACCATATTTATCTTTCTGCTCCTGGGATACCTCACTCAGGATGACCTTTTCTAGTTCCCACCATTTGCCTGCAAATTTCATGATTTCTTTGTTTTTTAATTGCTGAGTAATATTCCATCATGTAAATGTACCACTATTTCTATATCCATTCCTCAGTTGAGGAACATCTAGGTTGTTTCCAGATTCTGGCTATTACAAATAAAGCTGTTATGAACACGTTTGAGCGAATGTCCTTGTGGCATGGTGGGGTGTCTTTTGGATATATGCCCAGGAGTGGTATAGCTAGATCTTGAGATCTTGAGATCTTGAGATAGCACTATTCCTAATTTTCTGAGAAAACACCAGATTGATTTCCAAAGTGGTTGTACAAGTTTACATTCCCACCAGCAATGGAGAAGGGTTCCCCTTTCTCCACATGCATCATCCCTTGAGTTTTTGATCTTAGCCATTCTGATGGGTATGAGGTGAAATCTCAGCATCTTTTTGATTTGCATTTCCCTGATGACTAAGGACACTGAACATTTCTTTAAGTGTTCTCTGCCTTTCAGTGTTCCTCTATTGAGAATTCTCTGTTTAGCTCTGTACCCCATTTTTTAATTGGATTACTTGATTTGTTGCTGTTTAACTTCTTGAGTTCTTTATATATTCTGGATATTAGGCCTCTGTCAGATATAGGGTTGGTGAAGATCTTTTCCCAGACTATAGGCTGTCGTTTTGTTCTGATGACAGTGTCCTTTGCTTTGCAGAAGCTTTTCAGTTTCATGAGGTCCCATTTATTGATTGTCGATCTTAGAGCCTGTGCTGTTGGTGTTCTGTTCAGGAAGTTGTCCTCACTTGATTTTCGGTTAGAGTTGGGGACTTCGCTATTTGTGCTCCTTCCCTCCTCCTCTTCTGCAACACCCATCCCATCTCCTTCCTGAACACAAGACTCATATAATCCACTTTGTCATAACTGACAGGAGCTGGTAGGATTTCAAAGCATTCTTTCCAGATCTAACTATCTCTCCCCCCCATCCCACCCCCATCCACCACCCTCGATGTACAGTCTCAAGGCCCTAAACCATAGATTTGTTGAGCTACCTAGACAAACAATGTGGACATAGTTGTCTTGAAAATTGTCTCACTATCTTATTGGACTTTGCAGGCATTTCTTTTCTGATTTCAAGACAATTTTTTTTACAGATTTTTTTTTTCTAATTGCCTTATTCAGAGCGTTAGCAAACACAAGTTGATTCTGGTCTTGTCATTTTCTATGTACAGGTATCAAAACATTCAGAGAACCATTGCAACAGAGAGACCTGAAGAAGATTCTGGCAACCCAAGCTGTGAGCAAATAGCAGACGGAGGAGGTGGAGGGAGTGACTCAGAAGCAGAATCTTCCCAGTCAAGCTTAGGTATTGGAGCAGGGGACCCAGAACAATGGAGGTGGCATGTTATAACTAGAAGTCTCCAAGTCCTTACCCTGCCTCATGGGATAGCCACACATAGGAGAGCAACAAAATATAGAACAAGATGGAGGAATTAGAGGCGTGAATAAGAGAGACAACAAAGTTTCCCACCAGGAATCTTGGAAGACAGAGACTCCTGTGTGGTTAAGTAATGTGTCTGTTGGTGCCCTAAGGATTTTTCTCTTATAAATAAAACATGTTAAATGTTCAAAATCCATTTCAAATGAGTCTTGGGAGTTTCAGGTAAAAAAAAAAAAAAAAAAGTAGGTCAACCGAGGAGGAACCCGGGCACAAAGAGGTTTCTGGTGGGTTTCTTGTTCACAAATTCCAAGAGCATATTGCTTTTACCACATATCCAGCCTTATTTTCCTTGTTCTATTTCTTTAACTCTAGCCTGACTGAGATGCTGATAACGATGTTTAAAAAGCATGAGACTGGCTTCCACTTTTTGTGCCTGTAACTGTAATTACCACAGTGAAATCCTAGTAACCCTCTTTCTCTTTGAACTGAGTTAAATGGTGACAGGTCCTCCTGCCCCAACACACACACACACACACACACACACACACACACACACAACAAGGCCCAGAGACCGTCTAGGCAAACACATATTGTAACTCTCATTCTGGCGGGTCTCAGCGATCATGGGACATGCTTATTTGATTTATTTTTTAGGTTCACACATTTATACAATGAATTTCAGTCATCTTAACCTAAATTTCCCATCTTTGCTCTTTCTCTCTCACTGAACCTTTCTTTACAATAGGTCCCTGGCCTTCTTTCATGAAATCTTTATGTGCATAGCCCACTGAGCTTAATAATGAAAGTTTCTTGCCTGATGGTAGGCAAGAGGCTATTTGCTAGAGCAAGAACAAGTTACCAGTGGCTCCTTAAGTAAAGAAAATGACGTGAAATGCCCTTCCCCCAATGGGTTCCTCCCCCACCCATGAGGACCTGTGGGTGGGCTCCATCTTGAATAGGTCTTGTGTAGACAACCACAGATGCAGTAACTTTAGGAATGTAATGATGATGCCGTAATTCAGAGACATCTTTTAGTTAGCCATTCCCCTACTTACCGTCTCCTTCCTTCTTAAATGCACACACACACACACACACACACACACACACACATATTTCAATCAACAATTTTAATCTGCTTTCTCTATCAGATGTGCTGACAACCCTGGTTTAGGTTTTTGTGTTACTGATTCTTTGTTCGGTCTTCTGAGGGCTACAATAATCATGTAATTAGGAACAGGACAGGAAAAGATACTCGGGATTATTTCTGGATTTGGTATTGGATCACATGTAACTTACTACATAATAAAAAACCTCAATTTTAGTGGAAACTCACAACTGCATTTATCTCTTGGGCCTGCGGCTGAGCACTGTAAGGTCAGTAAAGCTGGCAGGTTACTCTGGTTGCAATCTGACTCAGACACATCTCTGTTCACCCGTTGTATTAGCTGTGTTGGTCTGAGATGGCCTCGGTTTGGAAGTTTGTCCCTCTGGCTTGTTCCCTTAGTGGATGTGTGACACAAGAGAGACAGAGACACAAGAGCCTGGGTCCCTGTCTCAGAACTGACATATTGCTTCTGCCTTGTGGAACTGGATGTAACCAAGCAAAAGGCCAGGACCAGTTCAACCAGAGGGGAGCTTGAACGTCCCACTGCAGAGAAATGCTTATAGGAGGAGAGAGCTGTGACACCTTCTGAAAACTGTCCTAACCACAGATAACACTTGTAACAAAACAAGAAAAGGAGACAAAGGAAGAAGATGTGAGGGGACTTGAACCTAGCTGAAATCATACAGGGACATTACTAATAAATAATGATTCTTGACTTTTAAAAACTGAAAATTTTGGCTGGGTGTGGTGGCCCATGCCTGTAATCCCATCCCAGCACTTGGGGAAACAGAAGCAGGTGAATCTATGTGAGTTCCAGGCCAGCCTGGTCTACAAAAAGAGTCCAGGACAGCCAAGGCTACACAGAGAAACCCTGACTCGAAAAACAAAACAAAACTCAAATTTTGAAATGCTCAAAAACTGTCTGAAATATATAGTATGCCAAGATGATGCCACAAAAGAAAAATTCTGGGGTTCACGCATAAAATTATTTAAAATGATGTTTAAACCAGATGTGATGACACATGACTTAAATGCCCCCAACACTTAGAGGGCAGAGACAAGAAGATCATGAGTTTAAAGTTTGGTTACACTGTATTGTGAGACTACCTCAAAAAATTTGTGTAAAATTGCCTCTAGGCTGTACATATAAGGTGTAAATGGAACATACTTAAGTTTCATGTTCAGGCTTGTGTCTCATCTCTAAAATACGTTCTATAATTTTAAAAAAAAAATCTGAAACACTTATTGTCTCAAGAATTTTGGACAAAGAACACTTGACATTCTTGACCTGGTCATGACACTAAGGAAAAGCAAGAGTATGTCCTGTGAGTTGGGGTTGGGGGTAGAGTTGTGTTTTGCTATGGGAAGAGATGTACCCAGTGTGAAGGGACTTCCCACCCAACATATTCCATTGCTTTGTTTCGTGTTTTTGTTCTAGATCTGAGGAGAGAAGGGTCGCTTTCTCCAGTCAACTCACAAAAGATCACCTTGCTACTTCAGTCCCCAGCAGTGAAGTTCATCACCAATCCTGAATTCTTCACTGTGCTGCATGCCAACTATGTGAGTGCTCCCCAGACAAAGACAGGGTAGTCTGGCTTCCTGGAAACCAAAAACAAGCTTTATGCGGTCATTTACTAAGATAAGGGGGCTAGAACTTTACTCTCTGAGCTTGGGAAAAAAAAATTTTTTTTAATTTTTTTTTTTGAGATTGTATTATAATTACATCATTTCCCCTTTTTCTTTTTTTTCCTCCAAACCCTTCCATATGCCCTTCCTATCTTTTTTCATTAATGGTGTGTGTGTGTGTGTGTGTGTGTGTGTGTGTGTGTGTGTGTAAAAGCAAGCAACTCAGACCATTCTTTTCCATGTGAGTCTTGCAGTAAAGAAGGGGAGATTCAGAAACTCTATCACCTTCCTAAGGCTTTCATCAAGACATCACATTGTGAGGAAGGATGCAGCAGCCATGATTACAATGTGGGTACACTGTGGATGGCAGGCAGGAAAGACATGCTGGAAACTCAGCAGCCTGGCAAACTGCAAAGGGGCCTCCTCCACTTAACTAGCAACAGGAGCCCAAGGTGACTAGGTAGTTAGGTGAAGCAAAAGACTAAAAGCTGATTCGACCAATCAAGCAAAAGATTAAAGCCCAACCTCAACCTCAGAAACCTTAAAGCCCAACCTCAATGAGATGCTGAAAGAATGGGAAGCAATGGCTTAGCTCAGGGAGATTGTCTGAGAAATCAGCCGTTGGTGTTGGGATCTCCCATAGCCAGCGGATGAATAGCAGACGAAGACTCGAGAATATACTGAGTGGTTTCTATTTGGGGCACTGGAGCCAGCAGTAACTCTGAGGCAGGAGCAGTAATTTGATGCAATGATAGAGGCTGTGGCTGGGAAAGGAGGAAATAAGTGTTTAATACCTGGTGTGATAGTGGGCAATCAAAGGTAATAAAGCATGCTAGATACTGAAGCCTCTTCACCAGATTCTGGGCTTCGTGGGGGCCTTGGAGCTGTGGGAGCCACTAAACCAGCCTCCTCTAGCCTCCTGCGGCTTCCCCCCCCCCCCCCCCCAGCACACGGGTACATGGAAGTACTCGCCCCACCTAGCACCACAGAGGTAGCCTGAAGCATGTTGTTTGGCAGTCTCAGAACTCCGCTGAGGGGCTCAAAACTAGCGGTGTGAATGCTCAGGTGCCTGCGCAACAGAAACTTAGAATTTGACCAACTTCGGGAACTTTTAAAACAGCCTTCTTTTCTTCTCCATCCCTCACTTGAAGACATTTGATAAGATTCACTAGAACGACAGGCTTCTGAAGCCCAGCTTTAACTTCGATAAGTTATTGTCGTGGCTTAGACAGCTAAATGGATGGAAAGCATAGCTCTGCAGTCAGAGAAGGAAATGGGGAGGAGAAGACCAATGCTCAGAGAGGTAGAGTGAGGCCTGAGAGAGCCGAGCGTGGCTGACACTAGGTGGAACTGGCCTGGCAAAAAAGCCTAGAGGTGTTGGATGCACATTTCCTGGTTGAGCACTATGCCTGCTTCTAAAGCTTCCGTTCCCAGCTCACACAGATCAGCACCGGGCTGGATGCAGATCATGTTAAAGCACTCAGTGTGTTTGCTCTGTGTTTCCTAGCTTCACATCCTCTTCCTTCATGTTCCCCAAACCATTTCAGAGTGCCTACCGGGTTTTTACAAGCAGCACTTGCTTGAAGCATATGATTTTGAAAGTCCGACGAGATGCCCGCAACTTTGAACGCTACCAGCATAACCGGGACCTGGTGAATTTCATCAACATGTTTGCAGACACTCGGCTGGAACTGCCCCGGGGTTGGGAGATCAAGACGGATCATCAGGGAAAGGTGAGACAAACTGATAGGTGGGGCTTTCCCCAAATAATCTGGTTTACCGATGCAGGAGATGAGGAAGAACGTGCAGGGAAGATGGTGGGGAGGGGAAGCTGTAATATTAGCACCGGGGGACTTCTGCCTCAGTTTCTTACTCATTCCACAATGCTTATACAATGTAGTATGAGTTATTTAGCATCTTCCTTCTAGAAGCCAAACTGTGCCATTGCTCTGTGGGGAACAAAATCCTGCTTGGTCCAGGACTATCCACTTTACACCTTTAAATTTTCCATCGAGTGCTTTTGTGCAATGGCCGGTGTCTTAGTTACTATACCATGACCAAGTCAACTTCAATTTAAAAAAAAAAAAAAAGTGTTTAGTTTGAGGCTTATGGTTTCAGAGGATTAGAACCCATGCTTATCATGGCAGGAAACATGGCAGCAGGCATGGCGCTGAAGCAGTAGTTGATTGACCCTGGGAATGGCACAAGCCTTTTGAAACCTCAGAGCCTGACCCCAGTAACACACCTTCTTTGACAAGGCCACACAGTCTAATACTTCTCTCCTTGTCACTGTTCTGTTGCGGTGAAGAGACACCATGACCAAGGCAAGTATATAAAGGAACGCATTTAATTGGGATCTTGCTTATAGTTTCAGGGACTTATTCCATTGTCATTATTGTGGGAAACATGGCAGCAGGGTCATAGATAGGCAGGCTTGGTGCTGGAGAAGGACCTAAGAACTACACCCTGATCTCCATGTAGGCAAAGAGAGACAGAGAGACTGGGCCTGTCATGGACTTTGAAACCTCAAAGACCACCCCCCAATGACATACTTTCTCCAACAAGGCCACACCTACACCAACTAATCCATACCTTTTCGTCCTCCTAATCCTTCCTGTGGTGTTCTGATTAAGAATGGCCTCCATAGACTCCTGTTTGAATGCTTAGAGAGTAGCATTAGGAAGTGCAGTAGGTATGGCCTTGTTGGAGAAAGTATGTCACTGGGTGTGGGCTTTGGGGTTTCAATGCCCAAGCCAGGCCTAGTGTCTCTCTCTTCCTGCTGCCTGGGGATCCATATGTAGAACTTTCATCTACTTCTCTATCCCCACATCTGCCTGCATGCTGCCATACTTCCTGCCATGATGATAATGGACTAAAGCTCCGGAACATAAGCTAGCCCCAATGAAATGCTTTATTTTTATTTTTTTAAGGCTGTGGTCACATTATCTCTTCACAACAGTAGAAATCCTACCTAGAACAGACGTTGGTACCAGCGACTGGGGTATTGTTACAATAGGCCTGACAGTGCTTTTGTTTGCAGAAATATGGACTTTGGGATTTTGGATTAAGAAAGCAGTGGAATGCTTTAAGTGGGGCTTAATCCACCATACTAGTAGAAGCCTGGAAGTGGTGCTGAGATTTGAACTGTGGAGTCTCTGATCAAGAGGTATCAGAGAAGGATACTAATGTGGCCTAGAGACTGTTCTTGTGATATTTTGGTGAAGAGTGTGGCAGCTTTCTGCCCTTGTCCAAAAAGTCTGCCTGAGGTTCAATTGAAGAGTTTTGGATTAATTTTGTTGGCAAAGGAAACTTAAAAACAGCCTAATGCTGACTGTGTTGTAGTTAGTAGAGTTCAGTCATATGCACATCTATAATGAAAAGAAACAAGCCAAGCAAAGAAAAATACAAAATGCAAAGTTGGAGGAAAAAAGGGGACACCAAGAAATGTAAACAGATAAAAGAAAAGCCTGATGCTAAATGGAATAAAGAGCAAGACCTCAGCCAGCTAAGATTCCAACTTGTGAAAAGGAATTAAAGAAAAGTGAAAAGGAATTTTTAAAAGCTTAGGGCCTGGTAAGGTGGTTTACATCTTTAATCCCAGCACTCAGAACACACAGGCAGGCATATCTGTGTTTGAGGCCAGCCTGGTCTACAGAGTGAGTTCCAACACAGCCAAACTTAGGCAGTGAAGGAAACTATGAAAAAGCAGAAAGCTGGTAAAATTGTATTTGAGTAAGGGGGCCATGTTCCAGCCCCAGCAAATAGCAGAATTTGGCAGCTTCAGACATGTGGTTTTGGCTGTAGAGTCAAGGAGGTAAGAAGGGTTTATGGAAGATCCCTCTGCAACTAAGGAAAGCCACTGAGGCCAGGCATGGGTCAGGAGTGTTCTAGCATGGAGCCCTAGATCCATTGTATGAAACTGTGAAAAGTAAAGCCTGGATTGCCTTGGAGACCTCAAGATATTGGAGATGCCAGAGGCATGGGTTTTCTGCCTAGGAAACCTACAGACCAAATTTTGAACCAGCCCAAGAGAAAGAAGTATGTTGCAATCAGCCAAGCTGAGAGAAGTTGGAGATCTGAAGAGTATTTTGGCAAGAGTTTGGAGCATAAGGCCAGCTGGGTTTTGACCTTATTTTGGTCCAGTATTTTCTCACTATTCTCCCTTTCCTCCATTTTAGAATAGTAATATAAATCCTGTGCCATTATATGTTGGAAGTATGTGACATGTTTTTTGAATTTGATTTTATAGGGGATTACAGTTAAGATATTACCTTGAGTCTCAGAAGAGACTTTGGACTTTAGACCTTTTTTAAAAAGCTGTAAACACTATACTGGACAGATTCTGAGCTACCCTAATCCTAATATCTTTAAAGCCCACATAAAGCCACTCACTTGCCAATCTGATGACACCTGGGTGGCTTCTGTTCCATCAGTCTGTTTCTACAGCCATGTGCTCAGCCCCATCTTCTTCCTCAGCCATGTGGCCAGCTCTCCTCCCAACATCCATGAACACATCTGTCTTCCTCCATATCTCCTGATGAAAAAGGCCTTCCTCTCTCCCCTTTCCAGAGTTCCATTCTTCCTACCAAGAAGTCCCGCCTTCCACTTCCTGTCCTTCTGCCCAGATGACTGACCAATCAGCTCTTTATTGACAACTGCTACATCCACACAAGACATTTCTCCACAATTCCCCCTTTTAGTCTAATAAAAGGCTTCCTTTACATATATATACATCTATATTATTATACATATATACAATATACTATGTACAGTAAGAAGAACCACAAAATGATCAGGAAAACCATATATAAAAGTTACATTTAAAGAGTTGTGCTTATTTGTATTTGGCAACCTTGAAGAAAACATCATCTTGCCTATCTTGGTGAGTCAAAAGTTTTGTATCGAAATATTTTTATTATAGCTTGTATCTATCAATCTGAAAAACATCTATCTAGACCTTAAAACATCTTTTTAACTCCTAAGCAACTAAGATGAACTATAAAATTATAACTATCTAGACCATTCAGAGACTTGAGAAAAAAATCAAATTAATTACCTGAGTAAATAGAAAGTGCATGCTAGCAGCCTTCAAAAATTAAAAATTACAGAGACAGTTTGCTGCCTGTTTGAATAGCCACCCAAAACTCTCTATACTGTTGGAGCATCATCTTCAGCCTTCTGATCCAGTATATCTGGCAGGCATATTTATGAAGCATTAATTATTTAGGACTAAGGAATTCAGACTTTTAAACAGGGTTGAGACAATAGACTACGGAGACTTTTGAAGTTGGACTGAAGGTATTTTGCAGTATTCTATGTCTGAAAGCCTATGGGGGCCAGCGAGTGGAATGTGGTGGTTTTAATGAAAATGTCTTTGTCTCAGTTAGACTTTTATTGCTGTGAAGAGACACCATGACCAAGGCAACTCTTACAAAGAAAGCATTTAATTGGGGCCGGCTTACAATTTCAGAGGTGTAGTGTATCATCATCATAGTGAGAAGCATGGCAGTGTCCAGACAGACATGGTGCTGGAGAATGAGCTGCGAGTTGTACATCTTGATCTGCAGGCAGCAGAAAGGGACTGTGTGCCACATTGTATATAGCTTGAGCAAAGGAGACCTCAAAGCCCGTCCCCACCATGAAACACTTCCTCAAACAACAAGGCCACACCTCCTAATAGTGCCACTCCCTATGGGCCAAACATTCAAACACATGAGTTTACGGGGGCCAAACCACCATAGGCCCCCATAGGCTCATAGGGAATGACATTATTTGAAAGGATTAGAACATGTGAACTTCTTAGAGGAAATGTGTCACTGGGAGTAGGCTTTGAGGTTTCAGAAGCTGAAGCCTGACCCAGCGACTCATGCTTTCTTCCTGATGCCTGCCTATCTAGATGTAGAACTCTCAGTTCTTTCCCCAGTACCATATTTGCCTGTGGACTGTCATACTTCCCACTATGGTGATAATGGAGTAAACCTCTGGACCTGTAAGCCAGCGCCAATTAAATATTTTCTTTTATAAGAGTTGCTGTGTTCTTGGTGTCTCTTCACAGCAATAGGTCATTGACTAAGACACTTCTCAAATTACATCACTCTCTGATGACTAAGCATTCAAATATAGGAGCCTATGTGGGCTGTTCTCATTCAAACCCTTCGTATCTTCCAAACAGTTCCATCAACTGAGCACCAAGTATTCAAACATGAGCCTCTGACGGTCATTCTTATCCAAATTACCACAACATATGTATTGCATTACCTTCTTAACCAGTTAACAAGGGATAGAATTATTGGTTTAGTAAGGGTGGTATTATTATATTACATGTTATGATTTGCCTAACAAGCCTCCAGTTGTCCCTGGAACAGCATGCCCAGCAGAGATGGGAGCTTTAGGATCCATAAAATGTTCCTGGCCTGTATTTTGCCTGATGATATTAACCTGAATGTTCTTCTCTAGAAATGTTCTGGAAGTCTAGCAAGTAAGCAAGACTGAGAATGTTCTTTAAATCATGAGCACCTTAACACATTTATAAGAGATACCACAAAGTTTAAAGAATTGCGCCTAAAAGGCTTTATGAAATTGGTTAGGAACACTCTCTTCTTCTTTTGTGATCAAATGAATCAGAATCTTTACCGCCAAATACATCTCTGAGTGGGAACCTGCATTACACAGTTCATTGACTCTGTGACTATAGACCTATGGGTTCATAGTTCTCCAAAAGCAACTGATGGAACAGTGTCTCCAAGGGCCTAAAAATTATTCTACCACAAACTGTTTATCATGCCTAAAAAGAAGTTCTCTCTAGAATGTGTGTGCATAGCTTGCAAGTCCATTAATGAAGTGATGTCTTAGGACCAGCAACTCCAGAACTAGGAAATAGGCAGAGTAGAAAGGAAGAATTGCCTGTTGGAAGAATGACAGTGAATTGTACTGTGAGGAACAGCGTATCAGAGCTGGATGAATGTGCCTCATTTCAATGCTCTTCAGTAGCTTTCAGGTGTCGATTAATCAAGATGTTAAGAGGACTTTCCTATGAATGAACTGACAGAAAAACAGTGCTTATTGGGCAGCTAGTACCCCTCCTATGAACATCTTACTCAGCCCTGGATTCCCCTGCATAATTTTTTTTCCAATTCCATCTGTTTAACTACAAATTTCATGATTGCCATTTTCTTTATAGCTGAACAAAATCTCACTGTGTATTGTACCACGCTTTCCTTATCCAGTGAACACCAATGAACGAGTATTTCTTGTAGTATATGAAGTCCTTTGGCTATACGTTCAGGATTGGTGAGGCTCGGTCATGTGGCAATTATTTTGCTTGGCTGGTATTTTTTTTTTAATACTCCAGAATGATTTTCCAGAGTGGCTGAACTGGTTGACACATTCACAAACAGTGTAAGAGTTTGCCTTTTACCACCTCCATGTCAGCATTTGTTCTCATTTGCATACCTGGTGATAGCCATTCTAACTAAGGTGAAGTCGAATTTTAGTCACTTTAATCATCATTTACCTCATGGTTGAGGATGCTGGGCAATTTTTAAGTGTGTTTACCAGATATTCATATTTTCTCTTTTGAGAGCTTTCTGTTCAGTCCTGTAGCACATTTTAAAATTGGATTTGCTTTTTTCCCCTTAATATTTACTTCTCTGAGTTCTTCATATATTCTAAAATAAAACTAGTGTCTCTTCTGCCCCATTATTTTTTAATTATCACACATATGCACATACAAATACAGCTTGCTAAGTTCTGCTGCTTGTAAGGATATGTGTTTAGGGATGATTTCTTGGGATTGGATAGCATTTTAGTGGGCTCATCTCTGGGAAGTTTCCCTCTCTGAGTAGCCATTAATTTCCTATAGCTATTCATGTAGAGGTGGGGTCCTGTAAGAGGTCCTCACCTAGGCTGGGATGTCAGCTGGTGTTGTCAATGAAAAGGTCTTCGGTAGGCAACCATATTTTTAGTATTTCATCGCTGCAGATTCCCTGACACATAGAGAAGGCACTGTCTCACAGGAAGCACCGTGATCCTCTCGCTCTTAAAGGTTTTCTACTCCATCTTCCATGAAGGTATGGGGTTGTGTGTCAGCGAGGGTTGGTACCACAAATCAGTTGTTCTCTATATTTTAAGCAGTTGTAGCTTTCTGTAACGGTCTCCATCTGCTGCAAAAGATGCTTCTTGGATGAGGGGTAGGGGTTACATTTATCTGTGATGTAAGGATAAGTACTTAGACTACAAATAGAAAGCTTAGAGTACTAGGTTCTCCTCTAGGCTCCATGACCTCATCAGCCATGAGCAGTTGGCTAAGTTTTCAGTACCAGACATGAATTTCTTTTCCCTTGCATGGGCCTTAAGTCAAATTAGATGGCTGTTGGTAACTCCCAAGATTTAAACGCTTCTGTGGCTGTCTTGGGGACATCTTCTATGCTGGTGGCTCACAGCCATCCATGACTCCAGCTCTAAGGGATCCAACAGCCACTACGTTTGTAGCACATACAAGGAACTTTCTTTATTCAATGTCTTAAAGTTTTTATTGTAGAGATGTTTAGTTTCCTTTGTTAGGTTTAGCCCCAGGTATTTGTGGTGCTGTGTGCGGTGGGTACCATGAATGGGATTCTTTACCTAGTTTATTTTCAGTATAATTGCTATTGGTATATAATAATTGGTTATTGTTATATACCAGTTGTTATTGGTAGATAACAATCTTCTGATTGTTTTGTTCCCAGCATTTTGTTTAATGTGTTTGTCAGCTGTGAGAGTTTTGGGGGCGAGTCTTTAGTGTTTCTCACGTGTAGAATCATATCTGTGAATAGGGATACTTTGACTTCTTTTCCTATTTATAATCCTTCTATTTTCTTCTTGTGTATTATTGAAAAGAAGCAGAAGACAAAAACATTTAGTGATTAAGGGTACTGGATTATTATACAACCAGCAAACAATACCACATGCTCATTAAATTTTGTGTAAGAAGATTTTTAAAGACTTGGAGAAATGATCACAAAATCTGATATTTTCTTATAACAAAAGTATACCTTCTAATGTGAGGAGACCATTAAAATCTCGAGGGGAAACTCAAAAATATTTTTGTATTTATTTCTTTACATTGCTGACGTTTGGGGAATTTGGTTATTTGCTTCATCCAACTATTGCTGAATGTCCGTGTGTTTTTTCCTTATCTAATTAAATGAGTGTTGGGTAGATTTGAAATGATATAGAAGACAAAGGGCCAAAAATAAGTATGATGACTATGATGGCCAGTGTTAATTGTCATCTTTACAGACTCTGGAAACACTTAAGAGGTGGCCTTTGGGCACTCCAGGGCAGGATTTTCTTGATTATATTAATTAAGAAGGGAAGAACTGCCCCCTGGTATGATTCACTGGCTAGGCTCCTGCACTGCTTGGATGGAGAAAGGGAGCTAAGGAACAGCACACATTCATTTGCTTTCTGGTTCCAAGGCGCCTGCTGCCTTGACTTCCCTGTCATCATCAATACCCTTTGTCGCTCAAGATAAACCTTTTCTCCCTTAAGTTTCTCTTGCCCGAGTATTTTACCATAGCCATGGGGAAAGAAGCTAAGAAACCGAGTCCTGTAAGAGTCTCGGAGTCAGCTCCACCTCTCACGGTGCTTTGTCTTGCTGTCCGTCTGCAGTCTTTCTTTGTGGACCACAACAGTCGGGCTACCACTTTCATCGATCCCCGGATCCCTCTGCAGAATGGCCGTCTTCCCAGTCACCTGACGCATCGGCAGCACCTCCAGAGGCTCCGCAGTTACAGTGCCGGAGAGGTAGGTTCTCTATGCCCTGAACCACAGTTTCCAAGTCTCTTCTTTGGGGCAGATAGATAGATAGATAGATAGATAGATAGATAGATAGATAGATAGATAGATAGATAGATA